GGACTTTTCTTGGGTTTGTGTTACACACCCCTATCTTCTAATAATGTGCTTGGTAGTTTGGGCCCCCTTATCGTCAGAGCTATGAACATACCCTTCTCTGAACAATGCACCTACAACCTGCTAGCAATACAGGGCCCCCACCAGCATCAAGCTACGCTTACAACCTTTTTCAGTCAGCTATGCAGGTGTCTCTTCCCATATGGACCAAGGAACAGTTTTTATCCAAATATATTCACAATACTTCCTAGTCCTGATCCAGTGTAAACTGACTTTAGGTACATGTGCAGTAAAGAAAAAGCTGTGTTAATTTTTAGAGAACCCCTATTTACTATCTAATTATGCCTGTGCATAACTGGATGTGCATATGATTAAAGTCAGATGCATTATGGGAAGAAACATGTATCGTAGAAAAATGATTATATGACCTAATCTATCAATCAAAATAGGAAACCATCCTCATCGTGCCCCCTTTTAACAAAAATCCCCTTTTCTCTTGAACCCATAGAAAAAAACCCCAAATGATAACGGTGGCTCTTGAGTACCTTGGTTCATGAAGCCCACTGCTTCCTAACAATGCATCTTTTATATTGCTTTGTTTAAGTAAAGTTTCCTTGCTACTTTTGCAAATATATGGGAGCTTCTATTTCAATTCCTTGAAGAAGGGGCCAAGAATGAGGACTCTGGCCCTCAGCCCCTGACCACCACACAAAACCTGGCCTCCCCGAAGTGGAAAGAAGAACAACAGAATCTTAGAAACCAGAATATTTAAGATATCTTATTAAAACACTTTATGGAATAAATTGATGTATTTTCCTCCAATTTGTAATTTCCAATTATAAAACGGTGTGTATTGACTAACATATGGAACATTCAATAAGCTTCAGAACAGAAAGGAGCTACAGATCCCGGGTAGAGAACTGGACTAGCATGCATCAGGCTCCATGTTCAATCTCCAACACTGCAAAGCTCCAGAAAGTATAACTCTAACTTGGTTTTCTCACTTGTAAATCAGGACACATCTTTACACGGTTGTCATTAACGTACATGAAAGCAACATTCAAAGAGATTAACAAAAATAAGGATAACTGAGAACTTTTCTAAAAATGAAAGATGAAAAAGTGGCAAAATTGAAGGTAAAAAAGGAAGGAGAGGCACCAATAGATATGTATTTAAGGCTAGAAACTGCCCAAAAATATATCACGAAAAGCTGAGCATATACTAGACACTGTGGCATGTGTTTGAAATGCTAGCACCGTTGTGATAGGAGCGGCGGGGCTGCGTCCCCAGCACCCCGGCCGCCTGGCTAGCTTATGCCCCGAAATAACAACACACAAATTGTATTCTTTTAAACACTGCCTGACCCATTAGTTCCAGCCTCTTATTGGCTAGCTCTTACATATTGTTCTAACCCATTTCTAATATTCTGTGTAGCCCACGAGGTGGCTTACTAGGGAAGATCTTAACCTGCATCTGTCTGGAGTGGGAGAACCATGGCGACTCCCTGACTCAGCTTCTTTCTCCCAGCATTCTGTTCTGTTTACTCCACCCACCTAAGGGTTGGCCTATCAAGGGGCCTAGGCAGTTTCTTTATTAATAAGAAATCACTCCCACATCATAGCACTTGGGAGGTGAATGCAAGAATAGCAGGAGTTCAAGATCAGCTGAGCTATGCAAGAGCCTGACATCACAAAACAAAACACCAAATAAATAAATCTGAGATTGAAAAAGCTCCAGTATTTCTAAAATATCATAATTATATGTACATACATAAAGCACATTACTATTTAATTAAACATGCTCCTTTACACAGCTGCTGCTTCTTTCTTCTCCTCTGCTTCTTCTTAAGATTTACTCATGTGTCTGTGACTGAGTACAGGCATGTGTGTGGAGGTACCCCCAGAAGCCAGAAGAGGGTTTCAGATCTTCTGGATCTGTGTGTGGCAACCATGTTCCAGTGGATGGTCCTATACTCATAATTATATGAGTAACGCATTAGGCAATGGTAGGTTATTTTTTTAAAATATTTATTTATTTATTATGTATACAATATTCTGTCTGTGTGTATATCTGCAGGCCAGAAGAGGGCACCAGACCTCATTACAGATGGTTGTGAGCCACCATGTGGTTGCTGGGAATTGAACTCAGGACCTTTGGAAGAGCAGGCAATGCCCTTAACCACTGAGCCATTTCTCCAGCCCCCCCCCAATGGTAGGTTATTAAAGTGGGTCAAGGACACCAAGTTGAAAGAGGGTGGGGAAGTAGGGGTGGATTTGGGAGGAGTTGGGGGAACACTGAGGTGGTGGTGAATATGAGATCAAAGTATAATGTGTGAAATTCTCAAAGAATAAAATTATATTAAAAATTTATCTGTCTTGCTATGAGAAAAATCAATCTAGTACTGCCAAGGTATTATAAGAATCAAATACCTGCTGTTTTCAGCTAGAGGAAGTAGGTGGCTAAAAGCAGAGGGACTTTGACTATATTCTCTTTTATATCTTATTGGGTTTCTACAAGTATTATTTATTCCCAGAATAAATGTTATTAACATTCATTCATAATACATTTAGAGAGATGAAAAAAATTTTGTTTTTTTTCTCTAATATTTAGTTCTCAGCTATTGTCATCTCTTCCAGCCTCATCTTCCATAGTAATGATGATTTTTATATTAATTAAGTATTCTATTGGGAGGCAGAGGCAGGCAGATCTTTGTGAGTTCGAGGCCAGCCTGGTCTACAAGAACTAGTTCCAGGTCAGGCTACAAAGATACAGAGAAACCCTGTCTAGAAAAACAAAAACAAAAAAAAAAGTATTCTATTAAAAAGAAATTTTAGGGGCTGGACTGGAGAGATGGTTCAGTAGCTATAAATACTGGTTGTGCTTGGAAGGGACCCAAATTCAGATCCCAGAACCCATATCTTGCAGCTCACAATTGCCTGTTGCTCTCCAGGGGACTTGATGCTCTCTCTCTCCCATACACACACACACACACACACACACACACACACACACACACACACAAGCACATCTCCCCCCACATTTTACAATTAAAAATAAAATCTTAAAAAATCTTATGTAGGCAATTCTGCTACTGTCTGTTGGATAACTGTGTAGGATTATATAACATTATTTATATAGATATTACCTTTGGTATATATCTATGTTCTCTCATCCTATTGCCCTTGAGATCAACACTATTTGTGAACCTCAGGATATTAAAATGGTCACAGTAGGGCAAACTAACCTTCAGTGAAACTGGATCTCCAATCTTGGCATTGTTTTCAGCGAGTTCATTCAGATACCCACTCAAATGAGATATGCACTGGTAATAAATAATTCATTTGGGAAATTTTGGTACTCATATCAGAATTATAGGTACACTGATTTATTTTTTTAAGTTATGATTTTTAGATAGCCTGACGATTTTGCAATCCAGTACTTTAGTTATGCAAATTTCATTACTGCATTATATTCTGTACATATTGCTTGAAGATCTACTGTCCTCAATCTGCCATGAACCTGCTGAAGGTAGGATTCAGTTTTGGAGGCATCTGGCATGTGAAGGTTTTACAGGCTAATCCCCACTTTAAAGAAAACCACTAAATACCTAAAGTGCCTAACTAATAAATAACGTGAGGTCTTAACAGTTTTAGACCTCCATGAGTAATTAACTTCTCTGCCCTTCCATAATTTGATGGAACTAAGTATCAAATCCATCCTGGAGGTGAGAAATCTGACATTCAGGAAAGACACACTCACACTCAAGGCCATACAATAGGTTAGAGATAAAATTAAAAACTAGAGCTGTCTAATCCTCAGGCTTAAGCTTATTCATCCTTGTGAGAGCAGCAAAGGAAATATTGTCTTAACCTGTGAATAATGGCTTGATTGCTGGGGCAGAGAGAATGGGCAGGTATGCTGACACCGTTCACAGTTTTAAATCAAACGGTATTACAGATACTATAAAGCATTTACAACTATAACTCTTGCTCCTCTTTGCAGTTTTCTGAGTGTTGAGGTCTGAATAGCATTACTCGAAATCCCACTCTGATACAGACAATATCTAAATGAGCATCAGCTCAACTTGAATCTCACACTATACCTAACAATTTTTAGTGCCCGGTTACTTGGGCAAAAGAATTATAAATTGGTCCATCTAAAAACTGAATAATTTCAAAATAAAACTAAGTTACTCAGAAACCACCATCTCAGATACCTGCATTCTTGTGGTACAACTGGTACAATTGGGATTTTCAAAAGAATCTCAGGTTCTTTTTGAGCCAACCACTCTTTCTTTTTATGCCTATACAAACCTGGGTGTCTACTTGGAACCCTAATTTTTACAAAATGTTACCAGAGCAAGAATATCACGGCGTGAATTAACTAAGCTTGTAAATTTTCGGAATGAATCCGGACCGAAGAACCGGGAAATATACTGCTACAACGGAAAAATGTCTCAGGTGATAAAAGTAAGTGATTGAAACTGTATGGTGGGTACCACAAAAACTCTGAGAAATTCCGTAAGATAAATCTTAATCCCCCTCCCCACAAAATCATAGTTTTCAACAGAGACCAATTTACTAACATGGAGACCATGAAGAAACAAGAAAAGCATAAACTTGACGGGCTCAAGACCTTACTTAGCACAGGATGCGTTATGGGCTGCAAGGATGAAAAGAAGCGTCCAACAATATAAATGAGAAGTCTCTTTCAGATCTAAATGCACTGTAGTAAACTTTGGGTGAGAACTAAATAGGAAATCCGAGTTAGCTCTCTTAAGCATTATTTAGCTAGATTTACAAGAAACAAGAACGACTCCATCCTTCATCACGACAGAGATGACAAAGTGAGGGCACGAAGAATAAGGCTCGACAAGGTCCGTTTCTAACCCTGCCCCGGGGAGCTCGATCGGTTCGAGGAGCCGAATGTGGTTGCCTGGGAGGAGAGCCTGGAAGGGTGGGCGCCAGACCCCAGCCCTCACGGCCACCCTCCCCGCCTCTCACCTCTCCGGGCGCAGCTTCACTGGGGCTGTCCGAGCAACTGCCGCCATCACCATCGCCATCACTGGGCACTCGCTCAAGCGCGGAAGGCAGGCCCGGCCACTCCCGCACCTCACGCAGCTCCCGCGAGGCGGATGCTCTCTGTCAGCCCCCGCCCCGCTCAGTCAGCCCGGCGTCCGACTCGCCTCTGTCTCCGCCTGCTCTCCGGGGACCGCCACCACTTCCGGGTTCAGCACCGCCCTAGCCACCGCTCTTGGCTTTGCGGCGCCGCGCCGCTGACGCCAGCATCCGGCGACCTCAGCCGGGACCTGCGCTGGGCGGCGGGCCGCGCATGCGCACAGGGCGAGCGCGCCCGAGCGCGGGAAGCTGCTCGCTGCGGACTGCTCCTTCCTCAGCCCCGAAGCTGTTGCACCCCGCTGCTGCTTGCCCGCGTTGCCTGAGCCTGCAGAGGAGAAGCTTGTCACCTCCCCGGCGGGTGGTGTGACAGACTCTCCGCCGTGACGTGCCGTTGCTCCTCGGGTGAGGGAAATAGGACTGCGTGGAGCGCACGAAAATACCAGTTCTTACAAAACGGTTCAGGTAGGCAAAGGGAAAGATGCCGGCCACACAGAAGCCCATGAGGTACGGGCACACGGAAGGACACACCGACGTCTGTTTTGATGATTCTGGAAGGTAAGCGTCTCGGGAAATAAAAAAAAGAACTAGCCAGGTGTGAATGTCAACCGAGATGACCCAGGCGGAGGGAGAGGCAGGGATAACAGGAGCGTCGGTTTCCTGAGACTTGTTTGTTTTCAACTGTCGTGGTAGTTCCAAATCTCAGGAAAGTTAAAAATCCTTTCCCCAGAGGAGCGTCTTCTCGCCACCCACAGTTTCATTCGGTGTCACGTTCAGTTTTTGAGCTCGCTCACTGCATACTGCTTGTCAAATCGCTCATCCCGTCGGCAATGGTAGCCTCTTTTGGCCTTAGTAATGTTATTTCTCTTTGTTCTCTTTCTTTCCCTTTTCTTTTTAACTTGCTGACTTCGAACTGACTTTCTTCTGTTTCTTTCTTAAACTGTTATTTTACTAGGGCGAGCCCTTCTCCTTAGGAAAAAAAAGGTCTATTTATTTTCTTTAGTTCGTGTCTTTTGTTGAGCTGCCCTGTGGGTGCTGGGAACCGAACCCGGGTCCTCTGAAAGAGCAGTCAGCGCTCATAGTTGTGAGCCATCTCTGCAGCCTTTTCTTCCCTTTTATCTTTCTGAATGCCATTCCTGTCAAGTACTGTTAAGTTGTGTGGCTTCCAATGCCACCCCTCTCTGTTGGTCCATAAAAAAAAATTTGTGAGCCTACTTTTCTGGGGGCTAGAGATAATGACAACAAGCCATGACCGTTCCCTTTATTGAAGTTAAGGTCTTCTGGGATTAATAGGCATCAGGCACAAATTAATTACGAAATAAATGTATATTTAGACGTATACTTAGCACTACTAAGTGATGAGCATATGGGCAGGAAGGCGATGTAGGTTAAAGGACAGAAAGTGTCTCTTAAGGGAGTGTCTTGAAGTGAGACCTGAAGGTTGAGTGGGTATTAAGCAATAATAAAGATAGGCCAGGGATATAGCGTAGTGGTAATACAGTCTCCAGCCACATGATAAAGAAAGAAACAAGAAGTCTAAAGAGTTGGGGGCATGGCAGTAGAGTGGTAATGTTGGCATTCTGAGTATATTCAAAAGGCCAGTGGACCCAGACGCCCTGCTTGCTTAAAAATTAAAAGTTATCTGTGCTATACTGTAAAGTAATGTGGAGATTCGTGAGATGGATATGCGAAGGTAGATGGGGTGTCTATGCAAGGCCTTCTGCTTTTAATCTTGTTTGGAGATGGGGAGATGACCAACCAGAATTCAGAGGGGCCTGCAATACCAGTGATTAGGAGGTGGAAGCAGGGGATTCTCAGAGCAAGCAGGCTAGCTAGATTAGCTGAATTCATGAATTCCGGGTTCAGGAGAGACCCTGCCTCAGTGTTTAAGAGCTATAGAAGAAAACATCTGCCTTCATATGCTTGTGCCTGCACATGAACACACACACACACATGTGAACACACATAAACACAGGCGTACAAACAATATACATACACGCTTGCATGTCCACACATAAGAACCTGGTTTTTGTCCTCACAGTGGGAAGGCACTATGTTTGAAACAGTGCAGCTATTCGTAGAGAAGATGAATGGAGGATGACTTAGTAGGAGGCGCTTTTATTAGCTGACTAGCAGAAGTGAGCACTAGAGTGGAGGTCGGCCTGGAGAAAACAGGTGATCAGTGGCTGAGGACAGAGAGAAGGACGTCTGATCATGTCTGCATATCTGGATGTTACAGTTGAGGGACTTAGGCTGTTATTTGTAGGTGCTGGAAATACTTGTCACTTGAAGAAGAGCGTGGTTTAGAGGGGGCAGGGAGTAGAGATTATGAATTATCTTTTGGACAAGGTTAGTACAGGATTTCTTTCAGATGTCCAACTAGAACTGTAAAGAGAACATTTGGAAATCAGAAAAATGAACTAGGGATAGAAATAGATGTATCTTTGCTTGATGTCTGTCAGTATTGAGGACTAAAGTCTTGACTGGGAACATGAATGGATTTGTCAGCCTATGTACAGATATATCTGCTGCATTAGTTTACATGACGTCACCTAGAGAGGAATGAATGTCGTGGTCAGATTCACAAGTGAAGTGCAGGTAGGATGGAGAGTAAATGCGCTCAACAATAGATTCTTTTGCTGTCTTGAGTAAAGCTGGAAGCAGTTGTTTGAAAGAAGAGGAGTTGGCGTGAGTCTAGGGAGAGGGAGAGTTGTTGGATGGACTAGGGAAACGTAGCTGGATTGAGGGCAGCACTAACACTTCCCTGGGCTTGAAGTGAGAACAGACAATCTGGATGTGCATTCTTCAACTGCTCTAACAGTGCAAACTTGAAAATAGACGGGTTAACCAAACCTGGGAGTGTCGTCGTGGGTACCAGAGCGATGGAGGGCCAGAGGTCAATGAGAAGAAGACAGATATTAGTGACAGACCGTGGGGATCTAAGATAGATTAGAAGGGATTTGAGAATTTAAGGAAGTGAGAAAGAGAAGGTTGTCTCAATACATTGGGTTCTGGGCTGGGCATGATGGTGTATGCTTTTGATCCAGCGCTGGGGCAAAGTCAGGCAGATGTTTGTGAGCTTGAGGCCAACTTGGTCTACATAGTAAGTTCCAGGTCAACCAGAGTTACATGATAAGAGTCTGTCTCAAAAATAGATAAACAAGCAAATAAATAGTTCTGTTTTTCAGTACAATACAAATTGTATGAGGGGCTAGAGTGGTGTCTCAGTGGTTAGTAGCCAGAGGACTTGGATCTATTTCCCAGCACCCACATGACAGCTGACAGCCATCTGCAACTCTGGGATTTGATGCCCTTTTCTGGTCTTTGGACACCAGGCAGGCATATGGTACGCAGACTACATATGCAGACAAAAGACTCATACACATCATATAAAACATTTTTTTACTTGTTTGAGTTAGAATGCTAAGGGTAATAAGGTAAAATATTAAGTGATTAGGACAGTGGAAGTTGAAATTATGAATCAGTTTCGATATTGTAGAGGTTAGACAGTCTAAGCTTGTGACCATGGAAGTGTGAGGTAGATGGCAGGGTCATAGCTGGTGTGTCAGGAAGAAGTTTCATCATATTGAATTGAAAAACACAAACTATGGTAGGCACGGTATGGACTTCTGAAAGGCTTTACTGTACCACGAGTGGGTTCCCCTTTGTGGAATAGGCCTTCAATCCAAACAGCACTTGGTTACCCCCATAACTGCCATGCCACATATGTCCACACAAGTCATATAGCACAGGCTGGTCTCAGACTTAATATGTAGCTGAGACCGACTCTGCCTCCCAAACACTGAGATTATAGTCAGTGCTATTACCCCGGCTAAACACTCTTATGAACCCCTTCTGATTTTTCTGTTTAGGAATTAATCATTCTTTTCTCCTAAACATTCACCTTCTTTATTTCTTTCCTTTTTCCCCTTTCTCTCCCTTCCTCTTTTTTTAATTTATAAATTTTTTGGCCATTTGCCCTATATTGTTTTTATTTAATTTGCTGGTTTTTGTTTTTTATTTATTTATTTATTTATTTATTTATTTATTTATTTATTTATTTATTTATTATGTGTATAATATTCTGTCTGTGTGTATCCCTGCAGGCCAGAAGAGGGCACCAGACCCCATTACAGATGGTTGTGAGCCACAATGTGGTTGCTGGGAATTGAACTCAGGACCTTTGGAAGAGCAGGCAATGCTCTTAACCTCTGAGCCATCTCTCCAGCCCTGTTTTTGTTTTTTGAAACAGGGTTTCTCTCTGTAGTTTTAGCTGTCCTGGAACTCGCTTTGTAGACCAGGCTGGCCTTGAACTCATGGAGATCCACCTGCTCTGCCTCCTGAATGCTGGGAATAAAGGCATGCATAACCACTGCCTGGCTAATTTGCAGTTTTATATGTAGCCAGGTAGGACATTAAAAAAAAAATGGGGCTGGAGAGATGGCTTAGTGGTTAAGAGCACTTGACTGTTCTTCTAGAGGTCCTGAGTTCAATTCCCAGCAACCACATGGTGGCTCACAACCATCTGTAATGAGATCTGGTGCCCTCTTCTGGCCTACAGACTTATATGCAGGCAGAACACTGCATACACAATAGATAGATAGATAGATAGATAGATAGATAGATAGATAGATAGATAGATAGATAGATAAATGCTCTGGGGAGATGAGAAGTTTGAAAAACAAGCTATAACAGATGCATCTAGTTATTTATTTGAATAATTATTTTGGGGTAGTCGAGCTCATATTTTTATTCAACAGACATTTGCTATAGTTTGTGTCATATGTTGATTGGTCCTGGGGATATATATGATGGATCAGTGTGGAAATAGTCTCTTCATTATTACAAGGAATAATTTTATGCCAGGAAGAACTGTAGAGAACATCAAACTTATCTTAATTTTATAGAATGAGAAGTTAGTAGTCTTTTATTGATGTTTATCTGAAAAAAATGAGAAAAATATTCACTAATGTCTTGATTTTGTTTCAGAATATATAAAAGTAGCATTCCATAAAAAGTATTCCTGAAACTGGGTGACATTTTCATGCTGTTTGTCCTTCACAGTTTCATTGTGACTTGTGGAAGTGATGGTGATGTGAGGATGT